CTTTATTATGAAAAAAAGTGAAGAGGATAATGTAATAAATCCCATGTGCCCATCATCTAGCTTTAAAATTTTATGTCTAATCTGTTTTCATCTGTTCCATTCCCGATTATTTTGAAGCAAACCCTAGACATGCCATTCAATCTGCAACTATTTCAGTATTTATTTCTAAAATGTAAGAACTTTAAAAATCTCTGTGTGTGTGTTTTTTCTTTACCTTTTTAAAAAATTGATTTTTAGAGAGAGGAAGGTGGAGGGGGAGAGAGATGTGAGAGAAAAGCATCAATCATCTGCCTCGTGCGTGCACCCCAACCAAGGATTGAATCCAAAACTTGACCGGGTTCGAACCTGCTACCTTCTTGTGTATGGAATGATGCTCCAACCACCTGAGCCACACCAGCCAGGGCATCACTGTGATTTTAAAAAAATTAACAGTATTGTCAAATATCTAGTCAGTGTTCGATATGCCATAGATCTAACTGGAAATATGCTGGAGAATGGAGTTACTGGCTTAAGGAAGTACAGGTGGGATGTTCTGAGTAGTACTCATTTGGCAGGCTTACTGTTCACTATGTTGTGTGAGCTCTGAATATATTTTTTTAAACTTAACACTTTATTTTTTATTTACTTTCTTTTTTAATAGATCGTTATTGATTTCAGTGAGAGGAAGGGAGAGGGAGAGAGAGAGAAACATCAATAATGAGAGAGTCATTGATCCGCTGTCTCTTGCACGCCTCCGAATNGTAGTACTCATTTGGCAGGCTTACTGTTCACTATGTTGTGTGAGCTCTGAATATATTTTTTTAAACTTAACACTTTATTTTTTATTTACTTTCTTTTTTAATAGATCGTTATTGATTTCAGTGAGAGGAAGGGAGAGGGAGAGAGAGAGAAACATCAATAATGAGAGAGTCATTGATCCGCTGCCTCTTGCACGCCTCCGAATGGGGATCGAGCCCACAACCCCGGGCATGTGCCCTGACCGGGAATCGAACTGTGATCTCCTCTGTCCTAGGTCGATGCTCAACCACTTAGCCACGCCCAGCGGGGCAGCTCTGAATATTTAAAATTTCTCCTCAAGCCTAACACAACTATATTTTGTCAAAAGCCTTTTCTGTCCTTTGCCATCAGAAAGGCAGCAGAGGGAACAGCACAAAGAGCCTGGAAAGAGACAGGCTTTGGGTTCAAATCCTGACTCTGGCTCTGCGTGACTTGGCAAAGATACTCAGCCTCCCAGTCTCAGGACCCTGGTCTGTAAAATGGAGCCGTGAATATGGGTAATGACGGGCTTATATAAAAGGTGCTGAATCTCAGAGTCTAGCATCTGGTAAGCACTCCTCAAAGGTTAGGCTCTTCCAAATTGACAAGTTTTTCTTCCCGTTCATTCTGTCAGTGACATTTTTCTGAAAAGGTGAAAAAGACGAGAGCTTCCTGTCCATGAAGAACTGCCAACCATACTTCCGGGAGCCCAGCTCCTGCAGTTCCTGAATCTCTTCTTAACTCCTTAGGCTATGCGTGGATGTTCACCTCTGATCTCTTCGGGAATCTGCCCTGGGCTTGAGAAGAATGGTTCCCTTGGTCCCTTGTGGTTGCTCTGTATCTGGGGAGCAGCCCCAGGGCCTGGTAACTGCCCTGCAGGTCAGGGCAGGCAAAGAGGTCAGAAGAAGATACAGGGTGTGTTGGCACCCAGGGCAATAATTACGCTGGTGCATCTTGTTTGCTTTGCCTGGGGCTAGTGGCTTCATTCTTTCACTCAACAGGTTTATCAGCTCAGGGGTAGGTGGGAGGTGGCTTCCAAACTCTAGTTCTCTTGCCTTTTCTGAACAATGGATGCTGGGGTTCAGGCTGGGCTCAGTATAGGATAGCCCTACTTGATACCTGTAGAGCAGAGGCACTGCTCAACTCCAGTGGAAGCTGATTCACTGGGCTGCTGGAGCAGGTCCCTTTAGTTGTCACAGGGAGGTGGGGGATTGGCGGTGGGACTCTAGGCTGTGTTATTTCCCACTATTTCCCCACCAGTGCAGAAGACTTAACTATTTTACTATCACTCTGAACTGCTCATTGTCAGCCCTGCCTTCCTCTGGACACCCGCAGGCTCCTGAGGCCTGGGACAGGGACTGAGCCCATGGCATGGTAGGCATCCGGCTGTAAGTCCTCAAAAGGCCCTATCGGATCAGTTTTCCATAGGTGGAGACTAAGGCACTAAGCAAAGACCTAAGAGGTCAGGGCTCTCTTAGCTTCCACCTGGATCCCCCCAACCCTCAGCCTACTGCCCTTGCCCAGTCGCAGCTGTAAATGTTTGCAAGTTGAATGAGTAACCCAGGGGCCAGGGGAAGAGTATAGTTCCCATACAGTTCCCTTCCTTGACCTACGTGGTTTGGGTCGAAAAGAAACCAAGTAGCATCATACTTCATAGAAGCCAGGCGGAGGACTTAAAAGACAAAGGTTCTTCCTGTCTTCTGTTGTTTTTTCAGGGTTGGGGGCTTTGCTGAACGGTTTAGAGGCCTGAAGGGGCCTGGAGTGGTCTCCCAGGACTGGGTGTGTGCCCTGAGGGGTGGCAGAGGGAGGGCTACAGGATGTCTTTTCTTTCATTGGTTAGATGGCCCTGCTCTCCTCCCCCTCCTGGAACATTCCACACATTCCAGACTGCCATTGCTTTCAGGATATGGATTAACATCCCAAGCAGATATTTGGTTTCACCACCCCCTCCCTTCCCCACCCTAAAAAGAAAGCCCCTAAAACTAGGAGTTCGAAGTAGGAGGCGGGTATTTTTGACCTTTGACCTGAGATACCACTAAGGGGACCTCTTGAAAGAGGGCTATTCAGCCTGAACTACTTTTGCACTGGGGTTGGTTTAGGCAGATGGCCCCCACCCCCCTGCGCTTCATCCAGAGGAGTTTCCTTGAGGGAGGTCCTGGGTTTGGGGGACGGAAGCTGGATCAGTGTTCTTAGCCTTCCAGTGGTGTAATGATTTATTCCTCAATTCTCCAGCGGTTTGACTTTCATTATAAGGGGTCCTGAGTTTTCTCTGTCCATTTGAGTGTTATAGGAAATCTCTGAGAAGGGCAGACGCCATGGCCTCCCTCTTGGCCAGTGAGTTATCGCAAGAAGGTGGCCTGGTGTGGGTCTGAGAACCTGGAACTGGACTTGCTTCCGATCATTATTCTTGTGTCCTGCTCTGGTCTGACCTCCTTAGATCAGATTCACAAACCGGCCAAAATAGAGAGCCATAGACATAGACTCTCTTCAACACTCACCCCCTTTTCTCCTGAGTGTTTTCATCCCCAGAAGAGATGTCCCTAAAATGTTTGACCGGTGACTTTCCACACGCAGAGCCTGCAGAACTAGAAGGGTCTTAAGAGACTTTTGTTTCCATTTTACTGCTGAAGACACTTGGAAGTCCCCTGGGGTGAAATAAGTGAGCTGGCCCAGGACAGAGCCAAGTTGGAAACATTTACAGTTAGAGCTCAGCATCCCTCCTCTTGGTCCTGTGTGTTTTGGCACTCCTCTCCTCCAGCTTGTCAGGAACTGACGGGATCCCCATTGCTCAGGGACACTGAGGCCTGACGCTTAAGTGGCTTAGTCAGATGAACGCCCACCCAGTCTGGGGCAGTTTAAGGGCTAGAACGTTCTTGCTTCCTAGTCTAGTTTTTCCTAATACCACTAGAATTTTATTGGACCGTGTCCCTGAACTAAGATTTTGTGATCAGGAATAGGCAAAGAACTGTAATGACAATTGACTGATACAGATAAGTCAGTTAAAATGTTTTAAGCCTGGGGATTAGGGCATCGATTTAGGTGGTAACCAATTTCCCTGAGAATCACCCTTGAACATGAAAGCCTTCCTCAGGGGAAATTACCTTTTTTAAGAGGCATTTGAAAGATGGGAAGGAGATAGTGTAGTTAACTGGGAGGAGGGAAGGAAGGTAGTGGTCAGAATGCTGGGTTAGGTGTGTGTTAATCACTTCCACCTTAGAATTCACAGGTACATCTGTTATTATACTTTATGTACTTACTCTAAGCCCTCTGCTAAGCTCTTTATAACATTGTCTAACATTACCTGCTATACCGCCCCTTGAATAGGTATCTGTTTTACGAAGGAGGAGACAAAGCCTCAAAGGAGTTAAATAATCTTTTCAAGGTCAGTGCTAGGAAATGGAGCCCAGGTTTAAATTCACACCTGCACAAAGCACTTAACTTTCGCATTATTATCTTGCTGTTGTTTGTTTGCATATATGTCTCCTCTAATAAACTGTGAACACCTTGAGGCCAGGCACTTTGCCTGTTTTGGTTTGGGATGTGTCCCCAGCATCTAGAACAAAAGTCCAGGAAGTAAGCACCAGTTAAATAGGTAATAGATTAAGAAATGCCTTTTTTTCCTCAAAATTCTCACCCGAGGATATTTTTTCCATTGATTTTCAGAGACAGTGGAGGGGGTGGGGGAGAAGAGAGAGAGAGAAAAAGAAACAGAAACAATGGTGTGAGGGAGACACATTGACTGGTTGCCTCCTGTACTTGCCTGGACTGGGGCTGAGGATTGATCCTGCCACTGAGATATGTGCCCTTGACTGGAATCGAACCCCAAACCCTTCAATCCGAGAGCCAATGCTCTAACCACTGAGCCAAACCAGCTAGGGCAGATTAATAAGTAATGTCTCATGTGGTTTTGTGTTTCTTGTGCCTGGGTGGTAATAGATGGTTACTGAATAAGTTTCTCTAGTGAGAAACCTGAGTAGAGAGACAGATAAAGCAGATGCGATTTTTAGGGAATTATGTTACCCTGGTGGTTAGGGCATCTGATTTTGGTTTTCCTATCTGATGCACTGATAACAATTGTTATCTCTACACCATATCTGTTCCCAAAGTTTATCATTCTTAGACTCTGAGACTTTGATGTTGAGTAGGAGGTCAGGAGGATAGCCTGGCACAAGGATTAAGAACTGCTAGGTCACAGTCCCTAAAACATTCAGAGCTGTCACTAATCCTGTTTCCTTTAATTTCAGGAGTCGGAAAATTCAGATCCGAAATATCCCACCCCAGCTTCGATGGGAAGTAAGTGATTGGGGGAACTCTCAATGGTGTGGGGCAGTGGAGACTGGAATGTAAGTCTGGGTCAGCCTGAGCTGGCACAGAGGACTGAGGAGGTCCTCTGGTGGTTCGGTTGGGGTTAGGCCAGGGTGCCGAGGGGAGGTTGGTTGGGTCTCATCCTTAACCTAAGACTACCAGTGTTAGTCCTTTGAACTTCTGTCCCTATAGTGAAGGAGGGGGGAAGGGTATTCCATGAGCCCCAAACTTAGTGATGGCAAAAGTTGGTTTAGGGGCCCAGGCAGCCCATGTCTACTTCTAAAAAGGCCCTCAACTTCCTCATTGAGCTTAAGTACATTTCTGCAAAGAAAAACCTCCAGCATTAGTACCCTGGAGAGGGCAAACTGAACAGGTAGTGATGCTCAATCCCCACCCAAAGCTCAGCCTGTGCCCCAGTGCTTTGGGGTGAGGGGTGTCCAGTGGCCCGCCTTGTGATATAGTTCCTGGGATGCACAGAACAGCCTTCCTCCCTTCTTCATGCTCCTAGGTCCTGGACAGCCTGCTTGCTCAGTATGGAACAGTAGAGAACTGTGAACAAGGTAAGAGTGGGCAGAGGTGGTGGGGTGGTGGTGGAGCGGCGGGTGGTGGAAGACTTTGGGGGATCTGCTCTCCCTCTTTTTCCATTAGCAAATCTACTTGGCATACCAAAAGAGGACAGACAGAATGTGGTATAGAGGGAGATACACTGGACTGAGGATCTGGATGTGTGGTCCCAGCTTTGGCTCTTCTGCTTCCCTTGTAACAGGTTTCTCCTCTGTTCAATGACAGACTTGAACAAAATCACTCATTCTCGCTCGACATAGAGTCCCCAGGCTCCTAGGGGTCAACCAAGGTAGAATTAAGATTTTAGAAATAGTTTAAGAGTGTAAATTGTGCATTTATCTTGGGTAAGTCTGCAGTTTTTACTTTAAAATCATCTTGATTCTTTGTTTTTGGCTGGAATAATCAACTGGTTGTCTCTCTTTTGTGTGTGAGAATCTCTGATTGTCAGCTACGTTTTTGGTTAATGAAAAGATAATTTTTAAAAAATGTCTTTATATTTATTTATTTATTATTTTTAATATATCTGTATTGATTTCAGAGAGAGGAAGGGAGAGGGAGAGAAAGAGATAGAAACATCAATGATGAGAGAGTCATTGATTTGCTGCTTCCTGCACGTTCCCTACTGGGGATCGAGCCCGCAACCCAGGCATGTGCCCTGACCGGGAATTGAACTGCGATCTCCTGGATCATAGGTCAGTGCTCAACCACTGAACCACACTGGCCGGGCGGCATTTTTATTTATTTATTTTAAATAGGTTTTTATTGATTTTAGAGAGAGAGGAAACAGCGATCGGCTGCCTCCCGCACGCCCCCTACTGGGGACCAAGCCCGAAGACCGGGAATCCAACCAGCCAACTTTTGGTGCTTGGGATCACGCTCAAACAACTGAGCCACATGGGCCAGGGTGGATTTATTACTTTAGTACACATCGGTGGGCAGGCAAAATCTTTCAGGGGTAACCCTACAGAAGGAAAAATAATAATTATTTTCATAGGAAATAAAATAAAATGGAGTGATTTAGGTTAGATATAAGGTAGAGAGCTTGGTCATTAGCTAGACAAGATACATTTTGAGTTGGTAGATCTTTGAGAAATCTAAATAATCACCTAGTTAAGACTTGAATATTATCTCCAAATTCTTTATGGAAAGGGCAAGCTATAAATCATAAACGACTGAAGTATTTGCCTGCCCAAAGGTAAAGTGCTGAATCAATCAAGCAGGTTCCCTCCTGCTCTAATCCTACAGCTTGCCTTTTATCATCATAAATGCCAGGACACAACTGGACGCACTAATAACCATTGCCCAGTACTGTTCACAGCTTAGACTGATGACTAAGTGACTGCTGAACAAACAGTAAGATTGGGCAGTGGCTTAGGAACATATGCTGAGCCTCAGTGGAAGGCCTAGCAGGATTCACCACTAGTTTAAGTCTATCCAGGGCTCACCAGAGAGCTATAACACCTGCTAGCTGGAGAGAACAGAATGGGAAACTTTTCAAGTTGTTGGACAAGAGAGAGCTTTCAAGTCTGTTCAAATGCCGCTTTTTAAGCAAAGTTCTTTAGAATATTTAAAAATTTTTTTTTATATTTGTAAACATTTATTCTCTTCAACTGAAAAAGGCTTGCATTAGCACACATTGTACAGCCTTTAAAATTATACAGAATTGAAAAAAGATTCCTTGTAATAAGTGCAATGAGTTTTTGATGTCCAGAGAATATTCTTTAGAATTGATTTATTTTTGTCTCCCCCCCTACTAGAACATAAGCTCCATGAAGTCAGTGGTTTCATTCACTACTGTATGTCCCTTTAACTATTAGAAGATTATTCTTGTAGACTCTTCGTCCCCACCCAGGTGGGAGAGCTCTACTGATGAAGGCCAGAAGGGTTGAGAGTGGGCTTCTTGAGGCTTTGTGGCCAAGGAGCTTTCCTCAGTGTTTCGGGGGCAGACGCTTTATTTTTGTCCGTGTCCTCCACTCCAGGGTTGGGAAGGCCCAGGGGACCCAAAAATCACAGGACAGTGATGCATATGACAAAAGGTTAATTTTATTAATTTAAAATGAGAAGTATGCACCCAGACTGCCTGAAATTCTAATGTCCGACCCATTTCCCTCCTTGTAGGAAAGAATGTGTATGGTAATCAAATGAAAATCAAAGGGCTGCTTATGAAGAGTTTAGGATTAACGGCTGGTGCCATGAGTTTATGATGTGTACTGAATGTGTGCATTTCCATGGTCAAGATGTTTGGAATAGTTGGGAAATCCTTTCCCCTGGAAAAGATGCAGACATTCATTTCCCCCACCCTAGACTCCACAGCAGCCACTTCTGTCAACCCACTAGCTAGGTCATAAATACACATATGTTTGATTAATGTATTCTTAAGGATACTTAAGCCTCTAAAATGGATTTGGGTGTTTCCCACATCTCTTCAGCCATAATCCTTACAGACCATTTCTTGGGGTGTTTACTTGTATGAATTGCTAGTCTCAGTGTGTGTTGATTTTTAACTAGTTTAACTTTCCAAGGGTAAATGTATCTTTCAGGCTGTTGTGGGGGCGTCTGACCTGCTGCCTAACTGCTAATATGTTGACTACATCCTTTTGTTTGGGGGCTGGGAAGGGAAATAAAAAAAAGACATAGAGAGGAAAATGCAAGAAGGTGAATTTAAAATTTCTAGGAGTTCTGGTAAAGGGCCTGAAGGGGAACTGTTTTGCCTTGTCATTCAAGTATCTCATAAGCTCCCAGTGGTCTGCTAGATGCCTTTACCTCACAGTATGTAAGGCTGAGCTTTTAACATGGGATTCATTGGTGGCACCTCCAGATTTCACCACCCTAACCCAGGCCTCTGTTTTGCTCCCCCAGTGAACACGGAGAGTGAGACTGCTGTGGTGAACGTCACCTATTCCAACCGTGAACAGACCAGGCAGTGAGTGGGCCGCAAAGTGGGGCTGGAAGGGTCTTTGTGGGATGTTGGTGGGTTGTTTACCTTTGAATACCAAAGGCCAGGGAACTCTTCAGGATGGATAGCAAATAGAAAGGGAGGGACCCAAAGAACTCGCAGGGAAGGTGGGAAATCGGAGAGATCCCTAGTTGCCTGAAAACTTCAGGGCTTTGCTGTGTCGATGGCGCCATCTACTGATAGTGAGGAGTAACTGCTATTTTATTTATTTATTTATTTATTGAGATTGTTAACTTTAGGATGTGGTGGGGCAGACATTTTATTGCAGTGATCTCCAGGAGCCCAGTTTATGCTTGCTAGGGTCCTTTCAGTCCTCTTACACCTACACTCCCAGCTCCTAATCCCTCTGGTTGAGCACAGAACACTTCTCACCCACTGGTGCCGACACGCTACGTGTTACCCCTTACCTGTTTATATCTGTGTGGACCCCGTACAGGCCTTTTGCTGTTGGTGGCTTGCTTGCTGCTTTGTCATGCAGCCTGTCTCCTTTCTGTTCCCGCTCATTTAGCCTACACGGTAAAATCCCCCTGCTTCCTCAACTCTCATTTTATTCTAGAGGTCTCCTGGGCTCGGGGTTTTCTGGAGGCTCCTACTGCCCCTTGTGGCCAATCTTTAGTTTTTTAGCCTGGCTTGAGAGATCATGCCAGCGTTTGCTCAGTCCCCACTACCTGTTGTTGCCTTGTTGTTACGTTTCTAACCGGTGACAGGTTTGGGAATGGATGGGGCTTGACCCCTCCCTTCAGTGTAATTCAGCCGTTTTGCAGACATCCCAGATATACCTAAACTCCTGCTCCCGCGTGGTAAGCAAGCCATTCTGTCTCCAGCTCTTAACTTTTACCCTACATGGTTTCCTTAAACATAGAAGGTGCCAGACTCAAAAGGTATACAAGCAAATTTTGTGAATTATCATCTTTACTTATTGTATTTATTCATTTATCATGAATCACATGTGATTCTCATATGACTGATATAGTAGGTACTTTTGCCTGAAATTCACAAGCTGATCCCAAAATTAAGTGGAAAATTAATTTACGTTGCTCTTTGTCTTATGCCATTTAGACAGGACGGATCTCTAAGGTGGAGGTGGGAGTGGTGGGCAAGTGGTCATATCCCTCTCTTAAGCGTGTCCCATGCTATAGCCCAGCAGAGTGCTTTACCTATGGAGGACATTTGGTATGATTGGCATAGGTTGGAGTGACTAATAGATTCTCTATCTGTTTCCAGAGCCATCATGAAGCTGAATGGCCATCAGCTGGAGAATCATGCCTTGAAGGTCTCCTATATTCCTGATGAGCAGATAGCACAGGGTCCTGAGAATGGACGCCGAGGAGGCTTTGGCTCTCGGGGTCAGCCTCGACAGGGCTCACCTGTGGCAGCAGGGGCCCCAGCCAAGCAGCAGCAAGTGGACATCCCCCTGCGGCTCCTGGTGCCCACCCAGTATGTGGGCGCCATCATTGGCAAGGAGGGCGCCACCATCCGCAATATCACAAAACAGACCCAGTCCAAGTGAGTCTTGGCTGCTGGTGGAACAGAGATGGGTGCCAGGAAATAGTGGTTCGTACCTGGGGAGGTGGGTGCCTCCTGGAAGCACACTGAGTGGTGTTAATAGGAAATGTCACCTGGAACATGTTCTTTCTCTTACGTTCAGGGGTCACTGGTTCCAACCCCAGCCTCCTAGGTAGGCCGGGACAGGTGGGGAGGTAGAATGGGCACGGGGTGCACCATGTGGTGGCACTTGCTGGGCCTTGTACTTTTATTAGAAAGACGGGTTCTAAAATTTCTCCTAGAAAGTCTCAGCAAGCAAACGAAGTCTTGGTGAGTCAGTTATTCTTTAGTGCTCTGCGGTTTTGGCACCACTTACTGGTGTCAGTAGGCTGCTCAGCCTGGCCAAAGTCTGGGCCCTCATTCCTAGGTCATATGTTTGTCCCATCACCCATCCCACCACAACCACCCTTTTCCAATCTTTAAAGCTGATCGGTGTACTCTGGGAAAGAACAGGTCACATTATGTCCTTATAATACATCCCTTTATTATTTACTTTTAATTTGGGACGGCGTGCCTTCCCTTTATTGTCGTTTCAAGGGGGAAATCTAGAATTCACAAATTAGAGTTGTGGGCTGTTGTTCCCCACGTTGTTGAGCCTGGTTAAGACAGGATCCGGAGCAACAGGCTGGTCATGTGCCCCTGGCCCTTTCCTCTGTTCTCCCCAATTCTGCCTTTGATCAGGCTTATTCCAAGAAGAGGAGCTCCTATGCCTTCGTTGAGGAGAGGTTCGGGGAGCCCGAAAAAAACTCACTTTCCCCGGGAACGACTAACTTGTCCTTGTGGTCCTCAGGATAGACGTGCACAGGAAGGAGAACGCAGGTGCTGCAGAGAAGGCCATCAGTGTTCACTCAACCCCTGAGGGCTGCTCTTCTGCCTGTAAGATGATCTTGGAGATCATGCATAAGGAGGCAAAGGACACCAAAACGTAAGTCTTCGGCTTTTCTAAGAATGTGGGGACTGCCACCTTTCTGATTCCAACACACACTTTTTATTAGCAAAGGTACAGAATTGTACAAAGGGTTATAAATTGAGAAATGAAATCCTCTTTCCCAAGGTAACACCTTGCGTACTTAGAAGTTCTGCGCACTTGGAAGTGTGTATATGCTTGTGCACACGTGTGAGTGCTTGTGTGCTTTAGCATAAATAGGGTCATAATAAACATACTATTTTATAGTTTGTTCTTTTTATTTTCATGCACCAGTCCATACTGACCCATACATAGTAACCCAACTTGTTTTTGTTTTTTTAGCTGCAGAGATTGCCACAGTGTGGCTTTTTTTGTTTATTTTTTATTTTTACTTTTATTTTTTTCAGAGAGGGAGGAAGTGGGGGGGGGAGAAACATTGATTTGAGAGACTCTCAGATACATCAGTCAGTTGCTTCCTGTGTGAGTCCTGACCGGGAATCGAACCCATAATATTCCGGAGTATGGGATGACACTCCAACCAACTGAGCCACAGTGACCAGGGCTCTACATTGTGGCTATTTTAAAGTGTACAACTGGAAGATTTTTAATATGCGTGTACCTGTAAAACCATCACCACAATGAAGATAATGAACGTACCCATCACCCGCTTTGTTTTTGTGCCCCTTGGCAGCCCCCCCCTTCTGCCCCATTTCTCTACCCCTAATCAACCACTAATCTGCTGATTTTAGTACCCTTCTAACATGTAATTTTGTCCTGTGGTTTGTCCTGAAAACCACCTCACTTGGGGTGGCGTGATGGCCGAGTCTCCACATGACCCACCGTTTAAGGAGCTCTTCCCCCTCATTTCTTCTCCTGTCTCCTTAAGGGCTGACGAGGTTCCCCTGAAGATCCTGGCCCATAATAACTTCGTGGGGAGACTCATTGGCAAGGAGGGGCGCAACTTGAAGAAGGTGGAGCAGGACACAGAGACAAAAATCACCATCTCCTCGTAAGGCTCTTGTATTTCCTTCTTTATGAGTGGGATGGGGGGGGTCGGCCGTATTTCACTACTGAGCCGTAGTACTTGCCCCCTAAGTTGGATGCAGTTCCTGCTTATTGAAGAAGAACCAGAAGTGGTAAAGAGCATTTGTATCTACAAGGGCTGGAGCTCACCCATCACCACTGCTGTGCTGCTGTGTGGGCTGGGGGCTGGTTAGGGTGCTGCCTCCCCAGGCCTCTGCTGTCTCCGTCAGACCTCAGGTGCTCTGCACCTCGAGGCGAGAGGCTGCAGCTTGGAGCCAGGGCTTTGAGGTTTCAAGCGTGTCCGTCAGGTAGTGAGAACTGGACAGATCTAGGTCCTTTTCTGAGGACGGAGCATATATGGTGGCCTGTCTCTCTGTGAAGAACAAAAGTTAAGGGGGTAGATTAGCTCCTATGAGCACCGTGTGTCTTCATTTCATTAGAGACTTGCTGGTTGGCGAGTTCTGCTCTGTTCCAAGAAGGCACAGGGAATGGATGGCCTTGAACCACCGGGGAAAGGAGCATCCTTAAATGGAGCCGAGACTCATTCCGGGCCGGGGCCTGGGCCTGTCTTGTGAGTGGAAGGGTGATGCTGCTCTGCTGTCCCCGCAGGCTGCAGGACCTCACACTCTATAACCCTGAGAGGACCATCACCGTGAAGGGGGCCATCGAGAACTGCTGCAGGGCTGAGCAGGAGATCATGAAGAAAGTTCGGGAGGCCTATGAGAATGATGTGGCTGCCATGAGTGTGAGTGCCCAGCACCTGCCTGCCCTTCTCCGAGCCTGAGCTACAGCAGAGCGGGTCTCCTGGGGCGGGCATGCCAAGTGCTGTGTGACCTTGGAGGCCTTTAAATTTAATAGGGGTTCTTCATTTGATTCCTGGGGTAGGGGCTTCAAGGCCTCTGATCCTCCTATAATTATGTGTAAAATTTGTGTTTGTGTATACTTTAGTGGGTAGAGAGAGGGTCCATCATTTTCATCTGATTTTCAAAGGGTGGTGATGTCGGGTAGGTGACTAAAAAGGTGAGTTCTAAAGTCAAACGGAGATCTGACCCTGCCACTCCTCACGTGGGCGCGTTACAGTACAGGGCTATGAGTTTGTCACCTGTCTCAGTGAAGTGAACCAGAGAGGAAGGATTTCTGATAGAATAAAACTGGTTGGAGTTGCTAGTTCTTAGTCCACTGAGAATACCGTATCACTCACAACTCTATATCCTAAGTGTATACATGAGAGCGTGAACACCAGAAGGCAGGCAGGTGTTTGTGTAAAAGCATGTAATTCTTCTGTTTCTGGCCTGCTCTCTCTGGGGGTACTCGACCTCTTGGTTCAGCCAGGGCCACACACAAGGGACCCCCAGGCCCTGTCAGAATGAGCTGACCTCCTCCTCACCTTCCTTCCCCAGCTGCAGTCTCATCTCATCCCTGGCCTGAACTTGGCTGCTGTCGGTCTTTTCCCAGCCTCATCCAGTGCAGTCCCGCCACCTCCCAGCAGTGTCACCGGAGCTGCTCCCTATAGCTCCTTTATGGTAGGTGCAAAGTTGTCTTACAGGGGACCCCTGGGCCCGTATATGGCCTGCCTTAAAGGGTCTAACTCCTTGTGGGCACCTGATGCTTGGGGATTTGTAGGGATGTGGAAGGGAGGCCTGAGGCTGCTGCTTCTACATTGTTCCCAGCCCCTGGCGACACTTCAGAACCTTGACTCTGGAGGGCAATCTCAGATGCTGCCAGAGATGCTGACAGCACTCTGCCTCTTCCCTCCTCTCCTTTTTCCTGCGCTGCTTCTTCCCTTGATCCCTGCCGGGCATAGGGAGAGCCAAAGAGAGGGTAGCCCGGGTTGGCCGTGGGTGCCTGCACCCCGTTCTCCTTGAGGATGCGTGGAGGGGCTTCTAGGCTGTGGCTCTTGGCCTCTGGTGATGACACCCCCTGTCTTGGCAGCAGGCTCCGGAGCAGGAGATGGTGCAGGTGTTCATTCCTGCCCAGGCGGTGGGCGCCATCATCGGCAAGAAAGGGCAGCACATCAAACAGCTCTCCCGTTTCGCCAGCGCCTCCATCAAGGTGATCTGCTTTGTCTCCTTCCAGGTCCCTGATGGGAGTGCTCTGCTTCCATCACCCTCTGCCTTTGTGTCCAGATGCCCTGTCCGGCTGGTGTTTTGGGACCTTTTCCTTGGGGAATCACAGTCCCTTAGCCTTTGACCCTGCTGGGTTTTCTGCAGAAACCCTTTCAGTTTTCAGGCTAGGGAGGAGGTGGTGTTGCAGCCTAGAGAAAGAGGTTAGGTTCTGCCACAGACTGGCATGGGTTCAAATCCCCATTCCTAGGCTCTGTGACCTGAGCCTTAGTTTCCTCATCAGTATATCCTTCTGATCATAGCGCTAGGAAATAATGCAGCTGAAGCCCCTGGCTCAGTCAGTGCCTGGTGGGCAGTGGTTGCTCAGTAAATGTCAGCTGTCTTTACCTGCCCTGACCAAGATCCCTTGGAGAAGAGGGAGACTGTCACAGTGCAACAAAGGCTGCTGTTAAATTTCATAAGTCTAAATTCCATTTGTTTCAGTAATTTTAAAGCTTTGGTGAAAACCAGTGATGGTTCTCAGGGGAAGTGCAGTCACTGCCCTCCCCTCATAGGTCGTCTCATCCATACCCCTCCCCTTGGCAAGACTCCGCTGGAACCTCCCCAGGAGGTTGGGTGGGGGAGGGGCGCGGGGCCCTGCCTGGATGATGTTACTGAGCAGACCCATCCTTACCTTCAAAACAGTTTTGGTGCAGGGGCAACAACCTTGAGTTCCCGGGTCTTTTTTCTTCCCTTCCCATGTCCTCAGAATTGGGTAGTGGGAGTAGGGGGCTGTAGGAGGGCTGGCGTGGCGGACATAGAGGGAGCCTCTTTTTTTTTCTTTTAATAAAAATGTTTTAATTGAGTTTTAGAGAGGGAGAGAGAGAAACATCGATTTGTTGTTCCACTCATTTATGCATTCACTGGGTGCTTGTATGTGCCCTGACTGGGGATCGAGCCTACAGCCTTAGCATATCAGGATGGTGCTCTTAACCAACTGAGCCTGCCGGCCAGGGCGCCTCTTTGACCAGCTGTTTGCTTTGCAGATTGCTCCTCCCGAAACTCCTGACTCCAAAGTTCGTATGGTCATCATCACTGGACCCCCAGAGGCCCAATTCAAGGTTCTGGTCTTTATTGTTTTTCTAAGCTAGACATACTGGATTTGACCAGGGCGGGGGGTACATATCTGTGTCACATTTTTAAGCTTCCCTGTAGGATATAGGGCTGCCAGGCTGTTTTCAAACTGGCATGAATTTCATTTCTGTTGACTTCTGCTTCCCTCATTACTTCTTGAAGGTCAACAGGCATTTGGGAAAGAAGGAAGTCTGAGGGCTCCTTCCTTGTACTCTGCCTTAGTCACTACGAAAGGCCTTTGATGCCAGATTCCTTTCTCTCCTTTATGTCTGTACTACATCCCTGGGTTCTTGAGCTTCTGGTCAGACAGCCAAAGCACTGGTTATTAACTTCCCTGACAGGTGGAGAACGGGGACAGCTCTCCAGGCTGCGTGGAGTATCTGATAGCCTCTCCTCCGAGTGACTATCAGCTGCCACTCAGACCTGAATTGCTAGCCACTGCCTTGTTCAAATAAGTGCCATCATCCCAGACCCCCGCAGGTCTGGTTTGTAAGCTCTTTTTCCAAACTGAACACGTTCCTCTAGGAAGTATGTGTTCGGCTACTCTAGCCAGGCTTTCCAATACAGATACGTAGAAGGGACACTGACGGGTCAGTGCTGTTGACCTTTCACATTACTTGGCTTAGAAGGTTGATCCACCTCTAGGTGGGGTGGGCCTGTAGGCCAGAAGAGGGTCAGGTGAACCTTGGGGGCTGCACTTTATGCTTTGTCCTGTATGTACGGCCTGATAATTAACAATGACCTCTCCTCAGGCTCAGGGAAGAATTTATGGAAAACTCAAGGAGGAGAATTTCTTTGGTCCCAAGGAGGAAGTAAAGCTGGAAACCCATATCCGGGTGCCAGCATCGGCAGCCGGCCGGGTGATTGGCAAAGGTGGCAAAACGGTGAGCTGTGAGGGCCACTTTGAAAGTTCTGGACCTTAGTCCCCAAACCCAGCAGCTCTGCCCTAGCCTCCTTTCTGCTCCCTGCTCTGCTCAATCTCAAGACTCCCAGTTTGCCTGTTTCCTTGGTTCTGCTCCCCAAGCTCAGCTTCTGACTCAGTTTCCACCTGCTAGTCACCAGCTTCTTGACCCTCCCTCCAAGCCCACCCATCCTTTCTTCGTGGCAACTGGAACTCCTCTCTGCCCACCCTACCCCCAGGTGAACGAGTTGCAGAATTTGACAGCAGCTGAGGTGGTGGTGCCAAGAGACCAGACCCCTGATGAGAATGACCAGGTCATCGTTAAGATCATCGGGCATTTCTATGCCAGCCAGGTACATATGACACTCCATCACAGGAGGGTGGCAGGAGCCCAGGGGTCAGAGAAGTAAGACTCCATAGGTTGCCCAGCATGACCTGACAAGTCCCGTGGACTCTGCCTGCGGCCGGGTTGGCTGGTTTTCCTGCTGCCCGACTATGATGTGTACGTGCTCGATTCCCTCTAAGGTTCCTTGGGGAAAGCGATTTGACAACTCTCATGTTTCCTATAACTACGTGTTATATGACTTTACATATTACACATTATATATTAACAATCTTTCCTGTTATTTAACCTTAGTCCTTCCCTAACCATTTTTTTGCACTCGACAGGAAAAGAAATTGGTCTTTTATCACCCAGTCTTCTTGTTCATGGAAAGGAGACAGTCTGGGACATTTCTGCCAAGTGAATTGCATTCTGCGGTTGATTTTCCTTGTAAAATGTTGTTCTTAGGAAAGAAACATTTAAAAAGTAAAGAGTAAAAATACTGATCCTTTGGTATTTTGCCCATTTTCACGGTGTTTTGTTAACCCATCTCTGGATGTTTCATCGCCTTTCCTGGGAATATTTACATATGTAGTGGAGCTGTGATTTGTGACAAGGTCTCCTAGTTGATGACCCTTTGACCAACACCTACTCAGGAAACTCTAGGAGTTCCATTTTGGGTTCAGTAATGTGACAACTTCAAGCTTTAAATTCTGAATGAGTTTATACTATCCCCCCCCCTTCCCTGCTGCATTGTCCAGTAGGTGCTCAGGGTCCACTTGGAGACGGAGAAACTTAGGCTGCTCTAATCCTCAGTCCTTCTCATCTTCCTTCTAAGTGCTGTGTCTTGTTGTTTGTTGCTAGTTCCTGGGTCCCCGTGACCTCTCTGCCTGTGTAAGACTGTCTCCTTCCTTGTCCTGGGAGGTTCTTCCTCACTCTGTCCTTCTCCCCTATTTTTTCTGCAGATGGCTCAGAGGAAGATCCGAGACATCTTGGCCCAAGTTAAACAGCTGCACCAAAAGGGACAGAGTAACCAGGCCCAGGCACGGAGGAAGTGACCAGCCCCTTCCCATCATATCAACTCGAGGACGACGGGCTGAAATTGAGAGCGCGTTCTCCCCAGCAGGCCTGAGAATGAGTGGGAATCAGGGACACTTGGGCCGGGATGTAGATCAGGTTTGCCCACTTGTTTGAGAAAGATGTTCCAGTGAGGAACCCTGATCTCTCTGCCCCAAACACCCAACCAATTGGCCCAACACTGCCCATCCCTCAGGGTGTCACCATGGAAATTCTAGCTCAGGGTGCTTTTAAACGTGGATTGTTTAAGTAAGTTCTTCAGGTCCCACCAAGAGGGTGGGCCAGATCCCAGTGGGAAGAGAAATAAAATTTCCTTCAGGTTTTTAAAACATGCAGAGGGGTGTTTTAATCAGCCTCAAAGGATGGTTTGCTTCTTGACCCTAAAATCCTTCCAGCCGTCTCCTGCTTGGTTTATTGATTAAAATACCTCCATTCTCATGCCCTGACATAGCCTCTTCCTACATTCACACTAATTGTTTTATCTTGACTGCTACCAGAAAAAATGGGAACTAGTACATCGCTTAGCTTATGTTATTGACTCAAAGGGAGAAGACACATCAGCATCTGAAGTTTAATTCCAATCCCTCCCTAACCAACAGCAACGGCAAGGAATAAAGAATGGGGGAGAAATGGGGAGAAAGATGATTAAAATATAGTAATCCACGTTTAAAAGGAGTGCCCTTGTGGCTGATCTATTCCAGATCACCATGTTGGAAAATTGGCACAAGTAAAAGTTCCCCCACTCTGCTGGGGCTTCCCCACCAAGATTCTCTGCCCCATTCACGTCCCTCTAACCATATAGACCCCGCATCGTGTCCAGGTGCACATGAGTGGTACTGAACGCCCAATGGGATAGGGGCTGACCACTGTACCGTCCCTGATTCCCATCATTCTCAGGCAGATTTTATATTTTTTTAAAGTCTATTTTAATGATTGGATATGAGCACTGGGAAGGGGACACTGCTCCCCTTGATAAAGTCTCAGTTCCATGGAGGACTTGAGTGGCTGGCCCCAAAGGCCGCCACTGTGCCCTCACCCCAGCCCATGTGCTCCCACGAGGGCTGGTTCCCAGAGGCAGGGGTTGCGGGGCACTCTCCCCCCCCCCGCCACGGCACTGTTCTTTTGGTGGTGGTGGGATGTGGAACCCAACCCTGAGCTCCCAATAAAGCTAAAGTTCATCATCTGGCATATTTTATGAATATTCAGCAAATCGGAGAGTATTTGCTTCTGTTTTTATCCTAGAGGCGTATTTAACTGATGGCTTCTGCCTCCATGAATCGTTGGCATGGTGACAGGTGTGCCGAAAAAAAAACAATTCAAAATACCAGCAACATATTATGCACAAAGGGGTACATAAACTTAATTTATTAATTTGCCAGCCTCAATAAGGTCCCGTGTGAAGTTCAGCCCTGTGGAAGACGGGAGCCATCAGTTAACTGAGGTTAGGCCTCCCCTCCTGATGTACTTACTGTCGATGCACATGAGCCAGGTGGTGTCCTTTAACTACCTTGGACAATGCTGCCGTGTGCTGGGAAGGGAGGATGGCGTGGAGTCCCCTCCTCCCGACATTGCAACAACAGTAACAACTAGACAACCGTGACGTGGGCGGAGTCGGTCAGGTAATGCTGTGCGCAAGTAAACTACCTCAAGGTATGAAGTTACCTCAGCAATTACTTTCCTTTTTGTTCCCCCACCTCTTTTTTTTAAAATCTTTTTTTTCTTTGCGGCTTGCTGATATTTTATATAAAAGAAGAAGAGCAAAGCAAAAGAGAAGCTGATAGCCTTGAAATATTTTATTTTTTTAATGAAAAGAAAAAAATGAGAAAGTTATGTTTCATAATTTCTTAATTTCTTACAACATGAGCCAGTGCAACCCTTTAGGAACTCTCGGGAACAGGCCCCGTGGGAAAGGCCGTGGGACGCTCCTAGAGGGGAGGCCGGGCTGCCAGGGACCGTCCGGCCAGGTCCACCCGGCGCGGCTCGGACCTGTCTCCTGGGAACCCTGCCTGGTGTGCGTAGGAGACCCGCCGGGCTGTGGGCCCCCAGTGGCAAAACAAACCTCCCTGGCATCCCCCCTCTCCCCCTTTGGTTAGAGGGCATCCCACTTGGTCTTTCCCACCAGTGGTGCTGTTGAGATATTTTAAAGTATTGCCTCCGTTTTATCGAGGAGAGAAATAAAACTAAAAAAAAAAATGTACCCTATAAAGTTTATATTTCTCTGTCTAAAATATGGGAGCCAAGATTCTGTTGGTGGAAGAGACAAAGCTACCCCTCTAACCCTCCGAGAGGGCCACCTGGTCTGCCATTGCAATGCTTTTCATTTTTGTTGTTTCATTTCGATCTCATCTTGTTACTCTTCTTGGTCTATGTCAATAGACCAGGAGGCAAGCAGAGTCTTGGATAACTGCTCCTCTCTGCTCCCCCTGTCTTTCGATTGATCTGACCGTGGACCCAAACTTAGGGAATTCTTGATTTAGGGTGGTGGGTGGCAGGGAGGAGCAAGGGATGTGGGAACGTGTTTGGGGACAGGTCCCTCCTCATTTATCATGTCTTACCACTTTCTTGCTGTGACGTTCCTTTTTAGCTTCCAGAACTGTCTACTCTAAAGAGAGGAGGAAGCAGGAAAGCATTTAGGGATAATATCAGGCCAGTAATGATTAAGCTTCCCACCTCTCCCAACCACAATGAAGGGTCTCCCAACTTCCATCTCTGGCTCTATATGCTTTATCCCAAAATGAAGCAGACAATGTTCAGACATTGGCCATTAAGTGATTTAAGATGAATTTCCAGCAGCAAGCATGCTTTGATACCTGGTTCAAACTACCATCAGGAAAAAAAATCCCGCAGTACCTGAAACGTGATTGTTGCAGTGTTCAGTTTCCTTGGGATCCTGCTCCCTTCACACCTTAAGTCCAGGTCCTTTTCCTTTGGCTGATTCAGCTCCCGGGAGAGGCCAGGAAGTGTGGCAAGGGACTGACAAACTTGACTAGGATTAGGCACAGCTCCACTCATGATATTTGCCCAGCAGGAAAATCGTGAAAGTTACACTACCAGAAAGCAAAAGGAATGTGGTTTGGTGGTTAAGGTTTAGCGGGATAAAGGGCTTGTCTTGGTGGGTCTGCCTTCAGACCCATAGGCTAGGTCTTGGGCAATTCCTTGCCCTCCTGCACGTCACCTCCATTTCCCATCCTTGCTGAGATGACAAGCAATCTAACGTGAAAAGCACTTGGGAGATTTGTATGATCTGAGAAAAGCGACTTCTGTGCTCTAATATATATGTGTGTGTGTGTGCTACATATATATTTTTAAGAAAGGACCATCTCTTTAGGATATATTTTTTAATTCTGTGGAACACGTGAAAAACCAAAATGGTTTGATTCACTGACTTTGAAACTGCATCTGACAGTTATACCCCAGTGGCTTTAATCCCCTCGAGGGTCTGGTTGCCTTTTGCAGTTTGGGTTGTGGACTCGGCTCCTGTGAGGGGTCTGGGTGGTAGAGAGCCATGCTTAGGGACAGGGAGTTTTATCACCTTCTACCCTTTTCTCCCCTCCTCCCAGTCCTTCTCAATCTTCTTTCCTTTCCCTGGAGCTCTCCACCTTTGGAGGCAGTTGGGAGCTATTCCCTTAGTTATGCCTCACTATTGGCAGAAAGACCCCATGTAGAACCCAGAGAACACTGGATGGGACACTCCAGTTGGTTCTTTGTGTCCGTTTTCCTCTGTGCCAAAGACAGACAGACAGAGGCTGAGGATGCCATTTCTGAATGAAAGCAATAGCCATTTTTCACACAGACCTGGGCTGTCTGAGAAGGAGAGGGCTCCTGGGACTGTGAGCTAAAGACAGGACCCTTCCTTTCTGAGGCTCCTGGGGGATGTGGGGGCCATACGTGCCAAGGGGTAGGGAGCTGAGAAAGAATTCCGATGGCTCCTGGTTGCACTTTGGGGATGGAGGGGAAGTTTGTGGCTCCTCCACGTGGGACTTCTCTTTGTCCCCTGCCCCCACTGCAAAGATAGCACCTGAGTTCCCTTCAGGCCGGCAGACTGGCGGAGAGGAGGGGCCTCAGTTAACTCTCAAGGGTGCCTTCCCCTCCTCCCGCTCCAGACATATCCTCTGCCAAACTGGGAACCAGCAGTGCTATGTAACTACCTCACAGAGCCCCAGAGGGACTGCCTAGTCACCCCCTTCCTCCTGCCTCTCCTCCAGGGGTGGGAGAATCTCCTTTCTTCCCCCCACCCCACCCCTGAAGTGTTTATGGGGAGATCCTAGTGGCTTTGACATTCATACCATGCAGCTGTTTTGCCTGTTTGTTGAAAACTGGTAGAAGAATAGTACAGCCTGACAGCAGGAAGATGGAAGAAAAATTCTCAATGCCAGGGGACATAAAGCCCTTTCCCTTCCAAACACTTGATTTAGATGCAGAACATTTCTCTTGTATTCAGACTTAGAGCAACACCAGCCGAGAACTTCATTTTCTTTCCTTTGGATGCATAAGGCTTCTCTATGGGGTGCAGGACAGGGAGGAGGCCTCATGACCGAAGGTGGATTTGGAGGGTGAGGGCCAGAGCCCTGACCCTCGGCCCTCCTTGGGGGCACAGTCTGATGGCACCATTACTGGTGCCTTCATATGGTTGAATCCGGACTGACAAGACGAAAGAATTTTTTTCTTAAATGAAATAGCAGGAAGCTCCTTGGGAGCATGTGTTTTGAGTAACCACAGGTGATGGATGCTACGAGTATAAATGGATTAACTACCTCAGTCCTTACAGTAAGATTGGAACCAAGGGCAGGGACTCGTGCATAGGGCAGGAATCCCAGCCAGGAGGAGTGAGTTGAGGCTTGTGCCACAAACGGTTTGTCCTTGAGGAGCGGGGGCAGGTCTGCCAGAATGCCCCCACTTATAATTGGGTTGGGAGGGCTGGCCATTAGCCCCCCCCATTTCTGCCTTCTTTGCCCTGGGGTCCCATGTTTCACCCCTTTCCCTCCAGCTTGTCCCTCTTACTTGCTATTTCTTTGTTGGAACAGAAGGTGAGGAGAGGAATCGCCTCCTTCCAGAGGGGGCTGGCTGGAGGTGAAATCTGGGGCTTGGCCCAGAACTCCCCACTCAGCCCCAAAGCCAGGAAGCCTGGGGAAGCCAGAGCTAAGACCTCTTCAGCAGGGTTTCTCTGAGATGCGCCACCTCCGCTCAGTCTTCACGGAGCCCGTTGGCTCTAGAAGGAAAAGAGGTGGAGCAGGATCCTTTGTCCTGACAGTCTGAGGGCCAGGTCCTCTGGTCACTCAGGTGTCTTTGTAGTCTGGGGAGTCCACTGGGCCATCCCAGCCCCTCCCCACCCTCTAATGAATGGACCTCCTCCTAGAAGCCCCATTTCACTTTTGTTTTATCTACCTCTTAGCAAGACAATAGAGAAAAGTTAGGTAGTGGCAACTCCACTTGCTTAGGTTAGGGGGGCGGGAAAAGATTTCTTTTTCCAAAGGAAAAAAAATATTACCTTAAAAATACTTTCCAAAAAATACTAAAAACCAAAAAAAAAAAATAAAAAATTAAAAAAAAAGGAGACATTTTCCAGTAACTGCTGGATTATTTTAATTCCCCAAACTTTTCTCTTTCTTTTCCCCCGTAAATAAGTTTCACTCTTTGGCAATTTTCTCCACTCATTTAAGATGATGTGCTATTCTTAACAGGTACAGCTTTCACAGTGGGCCCCCTGGCCTGCCCCTGCCCCCATACCCCATTCCTGCCCGTGAGTCCTCCCTGTGCTTCTCACCTGTTACCCCTCCCCACCCCCAGCAAGAACCATGGCTTTGTGTGAGTTGGGGTGCTTTTAGGTCTTGATTCACCAGTGGCGGTTGGGGGCCCACTTGTAACACTTTTGTGTAAATTTTATGTAACCCACTGCAATGGAAAGATAAGATGAATTTCAGCAGATGAGTTAGCAGCATGAATAAATACCTTCCACCATTTGGATTCTCCCCTGTCTCCAACATCTTGATCTTGGTCCCAGAAATCAGTTAGTCGAAAGAGCCCCCCTCCCCTGAGGCAAAGTGAATGGGTACGTAAGAGATGTCTCCCACTCAGGACAGTGAGAAATGTGTTGTGATGGGGCTGGAGGGGGACTGGAGTTTGTGACATTGCTACCCTATTCTGTAAATGTGGCCACTTTGAAAATTGTACTTCGCTGGGAACTTGCCAGCCATCACTGCCCGGATTTGATTGTACCCTTTCTCCCACCCCTTAATCTGGTCTTGACTTTGTCCCGGGGGAGGTGGGGCAGCTGGCTCAGACTTTTGGAGTTTGTTCTTTTGCTGGGTGAGCACTCCAGTGTCAGCCACAAACCACTTCATTCCACTATTTCAATTTCAAAATAAAAGGAAACTTATATTGAAAGCTGAGTGTGTCTGTGTCTCAGAGGAGGGATTTCTGGGTTGGGGAGCTGAGCTGCGACCTCAGGGTGAGAACCCTGGTTTCCAGGGACAAGAATCACTCAAGTGTACCGTAGGCATTTTGCTCACATTTGCAGTGCAAACGAGTGGCTTTTAAATGGTGCCTTGCTATTAATTCCCTTTGCTTATTGGAATAAGGCTTCCATTAAAGATGTTGAAATCTGTACAGAGGGTCACAGTTGCTCTGAGGATGATAAGGGTTTATTGCTGTGTCAGGAAATACTAAGGGTGTGTTGATCTCTTCCTGACACCTGCCCTAAGAAAAACTACAAACAATGTCTGTTTTTTTGGGAGATTTTTTTGTTTGGAAAGGGAACTAGGTCACCTTTTGTTGTGACCCTGCCCTCGCCTGTATTTTAGCTTTTTGAAGCCTGGGTTGGTGGAGGGCCAGCCTCGTGTGACATGACCTGGATTCCAACTTGGCTCTCCTGACTCTTGGTCCAGCCCCTTCTGCGATATCTGTCTTAGAAAGATGACAGGACGGGACTGGCCAATGTCATGCTTCAAGGAATGTTCCAGGCTACCTATTGAGTGACTCGATGTTCCTGGGACGTTCTGGCTTTCCGAAGGCTGGTGCACGAGGAACACACTAAGAATTGCCCCTCCCTCCCACTTAGGTTTTATGGTTGCCTGGCAACTGAGCCAAGCAGTGAAATCTCTTCCACGGGACAGTGGGAGTGTTTGCTAAGTGTTGTTACACGAGTATCTTGCCTTTCTTTCCTCCCCGCCCTCTCCCTCTGCACCCCCCCACCCCCAACCCAATCTTGTTTGAAAAAGCTTAAAAATGAGTCAGGATGGGTTAAGGCCATTAGGCTGGATTTGGTGTTGCTGTTAAATCGCAGTACCAAACAGCTGGATAAAAGTTGGGACATGATTTTTAAGTCCTGCTGAAAGCTTCGTATAGGAGGTGAATACTTACTGATGCCCTGCCTTGTTTCAGAAATAATTAAGTGGTTTAAACATGGGAATGAACCCCTGTGAAAACCTTGCTAATAATGGCCAGTATTTGTTGAGATAAATATTGTGCTCCTGGCACACCTACAATGCATTAAAGGCTTTACATGATGGGTCATTTCACCCTCAGGACAATCTTAAAATGAATATGACTCCCATTGTATAGATGAAGACATTGAAGATGAGGCTATGTTACTAAAGTCACAGACTTTTGATTCTAGAACCTGTGCCTTTAACAGTATAGCTAACCAACATCTCTGCAAGAGAAATCTTCAATGGTGCATGTGAGACAAGATGGAAACTCATTTCAGCTGTAAGTTTACTAAAACATAGTCTTTTTACTGTCGGTGTAAGTAAGAAACTAAATCTAAAAGTGGCTCTTGCCCTGGCCAGCATGGCTCAGTTGGTTCAGCATCATTCCTTGCACTGAGAGGTCCCCGGGGTCTTCAGTTTGATTCCCAGTCAAGGGCAGGTTCTCTGGGTTGCAGGTTCGATCCCCGGCCCCAGTGGGGCATGTGGGGGAGGCAACCAAGCAATGTGTCTCTCACACCGATGTCCCTCTCTTCCCTCCCTCCCTTCCACTCTCTCTAAAAATCAATGTGGGGAAAAAAAGTCTTGGTTTGCTTTCTGTAAAAAAGCCCTTAATAGAGTTTGGGCAAGAAACTTGCAGTGAAGAAAAGGGGGAAAAAAGATAAAGTAACTGCAAATGAAGAGTCCAGCCCATTCACTGTAAAAGGTGTAATTGGTATTGAAATGCATCACATGTTTGAATTGTAAATGTGCGTGAAGTATTAGAAAATTCCTCTGGTGTCCAAAATTTTGACTCTATAATGATGTCTTGTTCACAAGTTAAAGGTCTCATTCTTACTGGCCTTGGCTGCCTGCCAGCGGGGTGACCACAACCCGAAAGCCTCAATAAGACTCAGCTTGCCAAGTAAAGTGCCTCGAAACAATGGATTTCTCTGACAGTCAAGGAAAAACTGCTGTTTTTTATTTTTATTTTTATTTTTTTACAAATTAAGAAACACTATGTTCCTCATTCAAAATTTCTTAATTCTTGGCAAAGTTGGCCTATTCATCTTGCTGTAAAAAATTAGTTTCCTAGGGCTGCTATAACAAATTACCCCAATGCTGGTGACTTAAAACAACAGTTCTGGAGGCCAAAAGTCTGAAATCAAGGTGTCAGCAGGTCAGTTACTCTTGGAGGCTCTCAGGGGCATCCTTGCCATGCTTCTCTCTTAGCTTCTGGAGGCTGAAGGCAACCCATGGTTTTCTCTGTGGCTCTGTCTCTGTTTTTTTCCTTCAAGATGATCTCATCTTGAGATCCTTACACATCTGAAAAGACCCTTATTCCAATTAAAGTGACATTCTAAGGTCTGGGTGGGCATATCTTTTGTGGGGACACCATTCAACCTGATACAGAGACCATACTACATGGGGCTTTGGCCCACCTGCCCCTTGCAGTTTGACTACTTTGGAACTACAGGGGTTGGCTCCTTGGCTGTATTCAGTATATCTCCTTCCTGAGGCTTGGTATGTGGACGGCTTGGCTGGGGCTTAAGCAGCTTTCTTGTAAGTCTCTGACTACCAGAAGGAGCTTAGGGTCCTAAGGACGTGTAAATAAGCTAAGACCAGGTACATATAACCCTGAATAATGGGACAGCTGATCCCTGGTTTGCTAATATATCAGAAACTCCCAGAGCTTTTCCTATGCTGCAATCCAAAGACCACGGCAAAGCTCCACTCCAGCTCATTGCCTCTGTGTGGTCCTTCTGCTACTCCCAGGCCTGGGACTCATCACACTGCCAACAGGTACCCAGCCAAACTGTGTCGTATCAGGTACCCTAAGGCTTACGCAGTGCCACCTGGTTGAATAAAGCACCTTTGTCAAGTGCTCACAATGAACTTCAAACAAGCTCTCCACACCGATCACCAGGCTATCTGGGTCTCCATGGAGCCTCTGAATTAACTACAGGACCAACGCAAATGGGTGGTATTCCCCGAGGAGTCAGATGATAGGCAAACAATGCCATTAGGTGTCCTTTGAGGTGTGAAGTCATTCTGCTCCTGGCACAGAAGCTCTAGGGAAGTAGGGAGCCAGGGTGGGGAGTGCACTGGGTAATGCATGAATGGTTCCAAGCACAAACAAAGCCTCTGCAGCTCTGGTGGTAATTGTGACTTGTTCACCTAGTACCATGTTCCCTGTATTTGCTCCAGAAAGAGAATACCAGGTCCAGGTGATAAAAGCTAAAGGAGTTTATCATCACCAAATGAGTATTACAAGAAATGTGAAAGGGTCTTCTTTAAGAAGAAGAAGAAAAGCCCGGCCGGGCGTGGCTCAGCGGTTGAGCATCGACCTAGGATCCAGGAGATAGCAGTTTGACTCCCAGTCAGGGCACATGCCCGGGTTGTGGGCTCCATCCCCAGTAAGGGCCGTGCTGGAGGCAGCTGATCAATGACTCTGTCATCATTGATGTTTCTCTCTCTCCCTCTCCAGTCCCCTCTCTGGAATCAATAAGGACATATTTTAAAATAAGAAGAAAAGATAAAAATATGAATAACAAAATGTTAATAAATACATACCTATCAACAGTTCCTTTAAAAGCAAATGGACTAAATGCTCCATTCAAAGGACATATGGTAGCTGAATAGATAACAGAACAAGACCCTTGCTTTCTACAAGAGACTTCAGATCAAAAGATGCACACAGACTGAAGGTGAAAGGATGGAGGAAAATGTTTCATGAAAATGGAAACAACAACAAAAAGCTGAGGTAGCGATACTTATACTGGACAAAATAGACTTTTTAATTTAATTTATTTTTAATCCTCACTTGAGGATATTTTTTCCATTGCTTTGCTTTTCTTTTTAAAAATATATCTTTATTTATTTCATAGAGAGGAAGGGGGAGAGAGAGAGCTGAAACATCAATGATGAGAGAGTCATTGATCGGCTGCCTCCTGCATGTCCCCAACTGGGTGTTGGGCCCATAACCCGGGCATGTGCCCTGACCAGGTATCGAACAGCGATCTCCTGGATCCTAGGTTGATGCTCAACTATTGAGCCATCCCTGGCCAGGTTCCATTGCTTTTCAGGGAGGGTGGAAGGGGGAGAGAGAGAGAGAGAGAGAGAGAGAGAGAGAGAGAGATGCATTGGTTGGTTGCCTCCCATGAGCCTGCAACCAAAGCATGCGCCCTTTGGCCTGAATCGATCCTGGGACCCTTCCGTCTGAGGGCAGATGCTCTAACCACCGAGCACACCCGCTAGAGCAAAATAGACTTTAAAACAAAGCCTGTAACAAGAATCAGAAAAGGACCCAGCAATTCCACTTCTGGGAATTTATCTGAAGAAACCCAAAACACTAAATTGAAAAGACAAAAAAAGAGAAAAGACTTATGCATCCATGTGTTCACTGCAGCATTATTTACAATAGCCAGGTTTTGTGGTTCATATATACAATGGGATATGACTCAGCCATAAAAAAGAATGAAACATTGCCATCTATAACATGGATGGACCCAGAAGGTATTGTGCTGAGTGAAATAAGTCAGACAGGGAAAGACAAATGTCATATGATTTCACTTATATGTGGAATCTAAAAAAATGAACAAGCAGAACAGAAACAGACTCAATGTTTTAATGGTTGCCAGATGGGAGGGGGTCGGGGGGATGGGTGAAAAAGCTAAAGGGATTAAGAAGTACAAGTTAATTGTTACAGAACAGCCACGAGAATGTAAAGTACAGCACAGGAAATACAGTCAATAATATTGTCATAACTATGTATGGTGTCAGATGGGTGCTAGATTTATTGGGGTGATCACTTCATGTTACATATGTTACATAAATGTCAGATAACTACATTGTACACCTGAAACTAATATAATATTGTATGTCAACTGTACCAGGAAAATAAAAAATTATTTAAAAAATAAGTTCTGTGATTATCTTATGGCATAATTACATTGCTGGACATTGTCATCTGTGATAGAACACTAAAACAAAGTTAACTCAAAAAAGAAAAGAAAAAAGAATGAATGAATAAAAAAACCTTGCCACCTACCAATCTGGAGTAGTCTGCCTCTTTCTTTGTTTTTTCCTCACGCTCCACGTACAGGGCCAGTTTGCAAACCAACACCAGAGTTGTTTCTCCCTACTTCAGTCCTTTGAGCACTTGACCCGCATCTTTTTTCTTTCAACATATATTTATTTATTGAACATCAGCAAGGATTGGATTTGGGGAGGAGGAAGGTCTAGTGACTGTGTGGGTGAGAAAACAATCTCACCACTCAATGCAGTCATTCACTCAGTCTCTGATTAGTCCCTGCTCTGAGCAGTCCTGTGCGGAGCTCTGGGAATGGAAAAGCGAATAGGACATGGTCGAATTCCTTTGGAGCCCAGAAGTGGCTTTCGGGCACCAATACTTTGGTAGTGTCAGAAGTCATTTGACTTCTTTCCTGAGTGCCACTCCACTTGGCTGAGAGCACTGTTTTAATTGGACCAGGATGCAAAGCTGGCTTAATATGTCTTTCAAGACCACCTTTCAGAAGCCTCAGATATGGGACCAGGATCTTCTCAGATGTGCAGCTGAATTCCCTGTGGGCCGCTCGAAGCTGCGGCCGCCGGGCAGGGTGCGCGCCGGGCTGAGAGCGCGGGGCGCAGACGCTCCCGGGCCCGCAGCCCGGGGGAGGGAGAGGGGAGCGAGGGTGTCCCCGCGCTCCCGGTCCGAGAGGGGGCACGGGACCGCGCTCCTGTCCAGCCTCTCCCTGTCCCAGACCACTCGGAGGTTTGGGTAAACGGCTGAATCCACGCGGTCCTCCGCACAGAGGCCCCCTTCTATTAACTCGGACCTCCGACGCGGGGGAGCCTGGCGGGTCTGGGGATTCCCCACTCTGGGGGGCGGGAAAATATTCCCCTAGTATTTTCCCGGGGGCTTCCAGGTCACCCAGACGCGGTTGGAATCCCAGCTCCATTTACCATTTCATCACCCCCACTTTGCCTCAGTTTCCCCGTCCTCAGAGTGGGGCTAACAACAGTACTGACCTCTTCGGGATGTTGGGACGAGTGCCCACCTTTACGCACAGCATAAATAAAGCCGTTAATGCGGATCCCGGCCCCACAGTACCATAAACGGGCTGCGGTCATTGCCGTCCCCCTTGCCAGCTCTCCAGGACGTGGGCCGGTTGCTGGTCTGTTTGCGGTGAGCTCTGGCAGTCCCCAAACGACCACACGGATGTTTGGACAGGCTGGCGCCGAGCTGGACTCACCGAAAGACCCAGCAGGTGGGCGGGGGTTGGTGGTGACGTGGGACTCGGGGACCGTCCCAAGCTCTCCTGGCCTCCACATGCCCTGAGCCCAGAGACCTTGCGGGCATTGATGCCAGGGCAGGGCAACCGGCGGGGTGGCCGCCCGGCTCCGTTCGACCTGTTCAGTCCGTCTGCGGCGGCTTGATTCAGGATGACCTTGTGTGGGTGAGTGTCCCTGCAGCGCCCGTGGGAAGCCAGGCTCGGCCAGCCCCGCGCGCCCCCCGACGGCGGACAGGTGCGGGGGCTGAGAAGGCCGGGGCGCGGGGAGGCCAGGGCTGGTCTCTAAATTCAGTCCAACCCGCGCCCCTCTCCCCACCTAGGGGGCGCAGCTGGAAGGGGACCACGCCTGGGGACGCTGTGGCTGTGCCCCCAGGGAACACAGGTTTTCCAGTTGAAAAATTCGACATGGAGGTTGCCGCTTGAGACCAGGAATGTGGAGCGGGACCTTCGGAGCGCGGGGGTCGGGTCTCCCGTTGGAACCCGGGCTGCGCCTCTTTCCCGAACCCGGGACGGATTCCCTCGGGGACCTGGGTCCCCGCGCGAGGGCCGCGGGCTCCGGGCGGTCAGGGAGCCGAGGCTGGTCCCTTCCGCGGCTTCAGAAAACACCCTGGAAGACAGGATTTTGGAAAGTGGATTTTCAGGTCCACGCGCACAGCCTCCCCACGGGGAAGAGCTGCATGTGTCCCGGAGGCTAAAGCGCCTCTGAGGAGCCGCGTAATGATTAACAGGAGGCTTGGAGATCCACCTGAATGTTCACAAACTACTTAGAAGGGTCAGAAAGAGTTTGTGCCTTTTTTACCCCCAAAGCTTCTTTTCTTTGTATTTTTCACAAGGAGAACATCCTTTAGCACCGACAAGGAGGCCGTCTGGGGAAGGCATGTTGGTGAGGGGATGTTCTCTGAGCGTTAAAACGAAGCGCACTTTGTACAGAGGGTGAGACTGAGGGGCGGCGAGCAGCCCTGGGGCCCATTAGGGCCCCGGGCTCGGGCTTTCCTTCCAGCGGTTTCCTGCCTCAACAGTCCCCCGTCCCATGTTCTCCCCGAGTGACCCAGGAATCCTGGCACCACGACAGAAACGAGTGCCAATTAACTTACAGCAGGTTCATGCCGGGCGCACTTGACTTTGCCTGCACAGCCGAACAGCCAGAACCCTACGCAAAGGGCTGGGGTGTGCTTTGCTAACTTTGTATCTCTGCTAAGGCTGGTGACCTGGGGGAACCAAGTTTCTCCATTCCAAGAAACTTCTTTTAAACTTTCCTTTGCTTCTAAGTTTTCTTTTTCATTAAAAAACGTCGGATTTTGAAATGGGTACTTCTAATTTTGTCCTAAGATAGGGTAGCATAATTAATGGTGGAAAGTTTCTTTTCTTTGTTTTTTTAAATTTTTTTTATTTTTATTTTGGAAAAGTTTTATTTCTCTGTACGCATATAAAGTACATATTTTAATATTTTATAAATATGTTTCATTGTTCTAAAATGCAAACAAATACATTAAAATTTCCCAGGCAGCTGTCTAAGGAATGTTTAAACAGCAAAGTTAATTATCTTACAACTTAAAGTAATTGATATTTGATCAGAACAGCTATGTTGGCATTGAGTTCAAATGTTTGCTTACAAGAAATGCATTCCTTTTCATTGTCTGTCACCTCACTAAACCCAAGGCATTTCTAAATAAAATAGGTTTATATCCTCCATATATATTTAAAAATTAAAATTAGATTTGGTTAGAAACATAACACTGACAAAGTGGCTCCTGAGGTCATTTAGTCCATTTCTGCTTCTGGCAATCTTGACCTAAATCATTTCAAACATATGGCTAACTACCTGGGCCACCTTTGTTAAGCAATCCTAGTTCTTGGCCGCCTGCATTAATGGTGTGTCTGCATACAAACTGGTTTAACAGTTCTGTCTAATTGAGCTGGTCAAGAGTGTCAGGTAATCCATCTACTCAGATCAGTCAAACTGCATATGTGTTCATCTGACTTAGCTCGTTTTTGGATTTACTTCATTGGTAAAGACAATGAAAACATTCAAACAAGTGTGGATGTGAAGAGACGGTCTATAAATCAGGTTCAAGCGATGTCCCCAACCAATGTTCCTGACATTGGTGATCTGTGCCTACTCTGTTTTTCTCTTGATCCCTCCAATGAGTTTATTAACCTTATTAGTTTTTAAATATTTATTTATATATATTAATTGATTATTATTATTATTATTACAAGAGTAGTTTATTGCTTTTTATAGAGAGAGGAAGGGAGAGAGAGAGAAACATCGATGTGAGAGCCCAACATTGATCGGCTGTCTCCTGCATGCCCCCCACCGGGGATTGAGCTCAAAACCAGGCATGTGCCCTTGACCAGGAAAGGAGCTGGCAACCTCCCGGTGCACCGGATGACACCCAACCAACTGAACGACATGGGCCAGAGCAGCATCACTACCTTCTAAAAATATTTACTAAAGGATCTATTCTTTATGTTCTGCAGGAGACAAAGGAAATAATAATTTATTACAAATATTAATAGTCTCTCACATTCCTTTCCTGGCCCTTCCTGTTAAGTTACACTCCAGATGCAAACATTCAATTAACTGTAAAGCTTTTTTTGTCTGAATACACTAAAGACGTGTCTTCTATACGATGTAGATTTTCAAAATAGAGGTTTTCTATAACAGCACAAAATGAGATTTCTAGAAAGACAAATAATCACTGTCAGGCTTGGTTAAAATCCAACAAAATTAATGATTGCATCAACCTGATTATACTGGTACAAATATGGGCGATTTAACATAAAACTAGCAGACCAATAACCATACTGGCTCTTCTTTCAATGTCTGAAATGATTGAAGGGAGAAACCACAGAAGATCTAGAGTGTTCGTAGTTCCTGGAATTTTAATTCTATACGATACTAAAAATATACAAGTATTGGGGTAGGTATTTTGGTACTTAATCTCTCTAAATTTCTTGTATGTTGATAAGATTCGGGCATGGGAATAGGTTTAAAGAAGACATAACTTAAGACTTCATGATTTCAGGAAAGACCAATGGTACAAATGGAAGCACATTTTAAATGCTGAATAGCAAGAATCTTTTGCTAAGTGTCCAAGTAGGACCAGGAGACCAGGCTCACGGGGGCCACCATAATTAACAGTCTGCCTGCTACATAGGTCCCACATGCTTCTTCTTAAGTTTCTTCTACCTGGGTACTTTATCTTTTTGTGTTGTTAATGTGAATTAGGCCTCTAAAACTGTGTGGTAGTGTGGTTTTGAATCCTGCATCCATCGTTTATCAACTGAGCAATTTACTTTTCCTCTCTAAGTCTCAGCTAACTTATCTGCTAGGTGGTGGAAGAGAACCTCTCTCATTATGTTGTGAGAATTAAGTGAGATGATGTACACAAAGCTCTTGGCAGAGGATTAGAACATAATAAGCGAAAGGTTAAGGTGGGTGGTGCACGGGCAGGCTAAAGAGCCATCTCAGAAGATGCATAAAGAAAAAATGAATTTATTTAAGGAAAAGGGCATGGAGTGTGGGGATATCCAAAGGGAAGGGCTACATAGCACTGGGCTAAAGGGTATTGAGTCCATGATTGCAGCAAAAATATACTTAGGACAGTGAAACAAAGAAAGTGCATGCAAGAAGCAACAGGAGAGCCGAGGCTGGACTGCTTTGGCTCACTGAGAAGGCAATGTACCTGGTCCTTAGGCAGCTACAAAGCTACTTGTTTGGTTTTGCTGCTTTGCTGAGCCTGCAGCTGAAATATGCAACTGAGGCCCAGATCTTAAGGGAGGAAACGCTGAGGGGGGCGGGGGGGTGGTGGTTTCTAAACCACATGACCAGCGATATGTTGGGGAGGAGAGTTACCCTGGGGACAAGGTTCTTGTTTTCCCAGTTTTGTCCCTTGCTAGGCATCAGGGCTTTCTGCCCTGGTGAGTCTCTGTACCTGGCCCATTGTCCTTACTCTGTTCATGCCTGTCTAATAGTGGTCATTAGATGACAAAATTACTAATAATTTTTTTTTTAATGTTTATTTCATAATTAGTTACTCTACAAAAATTTTACTATCCCTTACCCTATGAGACAGCAAGGTGGGACCTGAAGAATATTATGCTAAGCAAAATAAGCTGGTCAGAAAAAGATGAGTGTCACATGATCTTACTCATATGTGGAATCTAATGAACAAAATAAACAAACCGATGAACAAAATAGATCCAGAGACACAGAAGCATGGAACAGCCTGATGAATCTC